TGAATATTATTATGAAGTTTTAGATTTTTGTAAAAATACTGTAATAGATAGTTTAAGTCCCGTTCAATAATTGTATGCGGTTTGTTCTATAATGCCAAATGATTTGACAAATAATGCTTTTAGGGAATTTGTTTATTTTTATAAAAATAAGGTAATTATTGATTTGAATAAATAATAAAATTGCAAATTTAGAGTTTTTATTTACACATAAAATATGACACATATATTTTTATTTACAATATACAAGAGAGATTGCAGCTTATTACAATATACAAGAAAGAGAGAGATAGCTTATGGATATTAGACATTTGTCATTCATCTCAAAAGAGTCAAGAATCGGTATCTTTTATTTTCAAATATTATTTTTGTTCCTTAACAAGTCCAACAAACTAATGATAAAATATAAGTTATATCTGTGTTTACAATTATTTGTATTGATAATGGCTAGCAATAACCAAATGAGTAACCTTACTGATCATGAGCCGCGGAAACCAAGATCCGGCAGGGGAAGTAAATCACTAGTTAGCCATAGGGCTTCCCAGGTCGTAAGCCAGCGAAATCCCTGTGATGTAAATAATAGAACACTTTTAAAAATTGCCACAAGAGGAAATATGAGAATTGCAACATGGAACGTGCAAAGCTTACTACAATCAGGTAAAGTAGATAATACTGCGATAGAAATGGAAAGATTAAATATCGAAATTCTAGGAATAAGCGATGCACAATGGCCAGGGTCTGGAAAACAACGGACTAGAAACGGAGCTATATATTATAGTGGATATTCTGATAGAACAAACCGATATGGTGTGGCCATAATGGTAAGCAAGGAAATAGATAAATCCGTACTTGGTTTCACCCCGCTTTCGAATCGCATTATAATGCTACAAATTAACACCAATATAGGGAAAATGAATGTTATTCAAATATATGCACCAACAGCTGACAAGGAGGAACAAGAAATAGAAGACTTCTACTAGCAATTAGAAACAATAATGAAAACAACAAAAAAACGTGAAGTTCTGATACTAATGGGTGACTTTAATGCCAAAGTGGGCAGAGGAAGTGTGGATAGTTGTGTTGGAATGTATGGATTGGGAGAGCGAAATGAGCGTGGTGAAAGACTAATTCAGATGTGCCAAATAGAAGAACTAGTAGTTATGAATACAATGTTTAAATTACCAAATCGCCGGCTCTACACGTGGAAAGCTCCTGGAGACAGCAAAGATAGAATCATAAGAAATCAGATAGATTACATCTTGATAAGGAACAGGTACAAGAACTCTATTACAGTAGTGAAGACTTACCCTGGAGCAGATGTAAACTCGGACCACAACCCAGTAGTAGCAAATATGAATGTAAGATTGAGAAAACCATTAATGAAAAGATCTAGACCACAAATATGCATTGATAAGTTAAGAGAACCAAATACATACCAAGAAACTCAAAACAAAATAAATCAGAGTATCCAAGAAATAAAACAACAAAATAAGAACACTACAGATATTGACACAAAGTGGAAGAATATAAAGAACGCAATCGAGACTGTGGGACGGAAAACTTTAACATTTACAAAAGCTGCCAAACAAGAATGGATGACACAAGAAATTCTCGAAAAGATGGACGAAAGAAGAACACATAAAAACAAAGATAAAATTAAATATCAAGAAATTAATAAACAAATAAAACAGAAAATAATACAAGCTAAGGAAACATGGATGTCCATTAAATGTCAAGAAATCGAGGAATGTGAGGCAAGGTATGACACTTTCAACACCCATAAGAAGGTTAAAGAAATGATTTCAGGAAATCGTAACAAACCAATCGGGATATTAAAAAATGCAGATGGTACCACTATAACTGAAACGCAAGACAAACTACGTAGATGGAAAGAATACATTGAACAATTATTTTATGATCAAAAAGTAGAACAATTATTAGAAGTTAACGGAGAAACCACGGGACCAGAAATAATGAAAGAGGAAGTTATGTATGCTATAAAACACACAAAAGGCAGAAAAGCTCCAGGACCCGATGAAATAGCAATTGAACTATTGAAGATAATTAATGAAGATAATATTGATGTCTTGGTAGACCTTTTTAACTCCGTATACAAGACGGGACACATACCCAAAGAGTGGCTTCTCTCAACTTTTGTGACGATTCCAAAAATCACAAATGCTAAAGATTGCAATGACTATCGAACAATTGCGTTAATGAGCCACACATTGAAAACCTTCCTTAAAATCATACATAACAGAATCCACATGAAATTAGAACAAGAAATAAGTGATTCACAGATGGGTTTCAGAAAGGGTCTAGGAACTAGAGAAGCATTATTTGGAGTCCATGTTCTGACACACCGATGCCTGGATATGAATCAGGACATATATGCTTGCTTTATAGATTTCAAGAAAGCTTTTGATAGAGTTCAACATGAGAAGCTTTTAAGTATTCTTAAGACTAAAAACATTGATAGTAGAGATCTACAAATTATATCGAATCTGTATCAAAACCAGAAAGCAAGAGTAAGAGTCGAAGGAGAACTAACAGAGGAAGTAAGTATACTTAGAGGAGTTCGACAAGGGTGTATCCTTTCACCACTCTTATTCAACGTCTACAGTGAAGTGATTTTTCAAGAGGCTTTATTGGATATCGTGGAAGGTATTTATGTCAACGGAAATAGCATTAATAATATTAGATATGCCGACGATACTGTCATATTTGCAAGTGACATGGAAGATCTACAGTACATAATACAACATGTATACAATGCATGTGAAAGTTACGGACTGCAAATGAATCTCAAGAAAACGAAATCAATGATATTCTCAAAAAAACCACAAAATGTAAATAACCTGATCATCAATAATACAACGATAGAAAGAGTAAAAACATATAAATATTTAAGAACGTGGCTAACCGAAGATGGAGATCAAGTAAAGGAGATCAGATCTAGAATAGAAATGGCAAGAAACACGTTCATAAAATTGAAGAAATTACTTTGCAACCGTAACCTTAATCTAGAGATTCGCACAAGAATGCTACGTTGTTACGTCTTCTCTACTTTACTATATGGCATGGAAGCGTGGACAATAAAGCAGTCTGAAATCAAAAAATTAAACTCCTTTGAGATGTGGTGCTACAGGAGAATGCATAAAATATCGTGGATTGAAAAAGTAACTAATATAGAGGTGTTACAAAGAATGAAGAAAGAATGTGAAGTCATAAAAACTGTTAAAATTAGAAAGATTCAATATCTGGGACATTTAATGAGGGGTGAGAAGTACGTATTACTGAGGTTGATTATGCAAGGGAAGATACAAGGGAAGAGAAACCCAGGACGACGCAAAATGTCCTGGCTAAGAAATTTGAGAGAGTGGTTCGGCTGCAGCTCATTAGAATTATTCAGAAATGCGGCCAACAAAGTTAAAATAGCGATGATGATTTCCAACCTCCGCTAGGAGAAGGAACCCGAAGAAGAAGAAGTATTGATAAACCCCACAGTTTAGACACCCACATGGCCTCTCTTTTTGACAGTTCTTCACAATTTGTAGTTTTAATTCTCTTATACAATTTACGTTTAAACTGGATTGTATTTGATGGGGTATCTTAAAATACACGGTACATCCTTGCTTACTGTACCATCGTTCAATGCCAATCACATCTTGGGGGAGAGAACGTTGCTCTCCACTTGCAAGTGTAAATGTCTTTGTATTAGCATCAACTACAGCCCAATAAATTTTATTGGCTGCTATTTGTTGTAGTTTGGGGGGAGTCCATAGCTCTTCTACTGTGGGTGTAACACACCTGTAAGGCATTGTTTCATCAACGTTCTTCTGCAATAAAAAAAATCTATTCTAAAATACTGTAATGTCCCCATGGTGGCGTTCTAAAACTATTAGGAATTAAATATCTTTTATCGTCATAAGGACTTAGCGCAATTTTTGTCTGTTCTATATTATAAACGTTATGGCTATATGACCGAATGGAATGTTGAGTAGCAGTTTGTTCCTTAAAATGATTTAAACAGTTTACATAATCATCGAATTTTAACACATTTTTTACTACATTATGTTAGTTCCTTTTGCTTTTTTAGTGACTCGGCCCGATTGAACTTTAAAAGTATACATTTTTGAACGTAATTCCACAAACTTTGTCATTATTTCTCCTTTATTTTCATCCTTCATTACTCCCAAAACTTTTTTATTTACGCGAGGAATATTATAGATATTATCTGCAGCGTAATCAGATGTATCAAATTTTGATATATCTGATTTTACTACTTCCTCATATGCATCATGACAGTATAGTTCATAAATAAAGCTATCGGTATCCATATACATTAAATTACATTTATCGGCACCCAATTTTGTAAGCATATAGTCGTAATGAAATTGGTACATACATAACTTTGATATATCTAAAACAGTCATGCCAATGTATAAAGGTTTATTAAAAACTAGATCTGATTTAATCAGTTCTTTAGCTACTAAATTTTCATTAAATATTTTTCCGCTATGAAACCGTACACTAGAAATTAAATTTTTGGCACCATACCGTCCATTCCACGATCCGACTAGTTTTACTATTCGATGTTTCCTGATATTCTCCATAGTCTTTCCAAATATGCTATTATTAGTGAATTTGTATAGGTTCTTTTCAAAATCGTTCGTAGCTGTAGCTCTTAGTTTAGTATTTAATTCGATGTAGGGTCGCAACAAGGCAGACTTTAAATTTTAAAATTTTGTGAATCTTTTTTAAAACTAATCCATTAGCCAACATTTGTTTTAAATTTCTATAATGAACAATATACATATTCTTTTTTACTATAAAGTGTTGTCATTAGTTTCGAATGATTTGAACCCGCAGCTTTACGGTGTTCAGGAGCGAATGGAAAATCTGAGTGCAGATCATGTAATGTGCGAGGATATTCCAAGTCAACTTGTAATATGTACCCTACGGGAGAGTCATCTGGTACAGACATAACATCAAAGTCTCTGTCATCCATTTATTCGAACCCTTCGTAGATTTGAACCCTCAGCTTTACGGTGTTCAGGAGCGAATGGAAAATCTGAGTGCAGATCATGTAATGTGCGAGGATATTCCAAGTCAACTTGTAATATGTACCCTACGGGAGAGTCATCTGGTACAGACATAACATCAAAGTCTCTGTGATCCATCCATTCGAACCCTTCGTAGGGCAAGGGCTCTCCCATTGCCCACCCATATAAATTATTGATGTCAAAATACATTAAGTACTTTGGGGGCTTTGTAGGGTCATATTTAGACATGTACTTATTATTAGCTTCTGACAGTCTACCGCTACATACTGAAATTCCTCCACGAATTGCTTTCTCACTAAATATTATATCAACGTCACGCAATAACTCTATTTTACACCTTACGTATTTCAACATACAATCCCAAGAATAACCTGGCATTGTGTAGTACCACGCTGGATCTAAACCATAAGTTATTGAGCATTTTTTTCGAAAATTTTCAAAAACATCTGCCAACAGCAAAATATCAGTCTTTAAATACAAATCTGAATATTGACCTAAATTAGCAATGCTAAATTGCAATTCCAAACTGTTTTAGCATGGGCATACTGTTCATCTGCAAGACCCTTATCGTTTAGTTTATTATAAAATGCCGCTATCGGAGGTAAATCGGTAATGTTTAATTTTTCCCAGCAATCAATAAAATCATAACAAAAAACACCTTTTTTAGTTATTAATTTAAATTTTTCGTCACTTAAATTACCAAATTCTCGTTTGCAAATTTTAAAACCATTTTTATCTAATGTTGATGCTAACTCATCTAAAGGGGCTCCTAAAAATCTGTATGAATCAATAAATCGAAATTTTATGTTACTAACTGCATCGTTAAATGTAAATGAAATGTATTTTTCTTTATTGATTGGAAGTAGACTAATATCTTCTTTTTTACTTAATTCTGAAATTATAAAATGACTATCGTAGCCACCCAGAATGTGAAAAATCACTGGGACGACAAAGACTTTTTTAAAATTTAAATTACATGCCTCGTGGGCAAAATTTCTGAACTCTCCTGTAAAATGATCGTGATCTCTGACAACGATATCTGTAGGAGAAAAACATTTTTCACATATGTGGCACACTGTAGCCCCACAAGTGCTCGGTTTTTCCTCCATTGGTATAATTCTCTTAATTTTTGAATAAATACTTTGAGCTAAATTTGGCATTTCATTAGCAAACCAATCCATGCAGTCAATGCCTCTATAGCTCTTAAAAAAAGATAACTTTTTATTATAACTACATTTTACATAGTATCCGGCACTATATGGAATGTTTTTAATATTTTTTAGTAGAATGAGATGTTTGGTGATCTGTAACTTTTTCTAGCATGCACTCAAAATCTGCATATATGACAAATGGTGTTATTTGTTTATAAATGTAATTTTTAAAACTATTAGCTTCATATTTAGGAAATGACATTTTACAATTATTAATATCTGCACACATTTTTTCATGTTCTGACAATTTCTGTTTAGTTGAAAAATAATTTAAGCATCTATTACAAAGAAATATTTTGGCCTTTCTTTTATTTACTTGGTTAAAAATTAATTTAGATAAATTTGTAATCTGGCAGTAGTGGTACTTAATTTCAAAATTATCATTATCTACTGGAGGTGCTTCATAATCTTTTAATTTAGGAAAATACTGATTTTGAATTAAAAGAAGATTTACATGTTTGCCAACTACTGTTTTAGTTAATCTTGCTGGATATACTGTGAAAAATGACTTTTCATTATTTTCTATTAATTCTAAAGCATATACATTGACGGAGATATTATTTATTTTTTCAAATTTTGAAATTTGATGTAACGGCATTGGTGCCTCCAAGTCTTCTGTTTTTAATACTGTACTGTACCGTGGATATGAGGACGTACGTTCTTTATTTACTTTAGCCGGATAGAGCGCACTTACTATTGCCCAATAAAAACATGCTTGATCTGAATTTTTTACGGTAATACAAGCTAGCTTTTTTTGAATAGACTCTGGGAGTTTAATATAGGATAAACCATTTCCAATGTCATATCGATTAATATTGACTTCTAAAGATACAATTCTATTTAATGCAATACCAGAGTCCTTTTCCTGAAATTCGGATAACTTATTATTTATTTTATCTTTAACATTCTCAAAAAACCATCGCTTTGTATCGTTAGATACGTCTAGTATAGCATTTTTTGTACTAAATTAATTAAAAGTTAAAATTTCGTCCTCCCCCGATTTTTTAATAAATTCTCCACAAAAACAAACATTAGCTTTAACAACTTTATCTGCTTTTAAAATTTTTCTGATTTTATTTTTAAAAATAATATAACAGTCATTTAGGAAATGTGCTAGGTCCTTATGATATAAATTAATTATAACTCCAGTTTTAATTCGAACATTGAACGCGGAAACAACATCTTCCCATTTAACCCGTGTTTTTAGTTTATTGTCTAGTCCCATACCTACATGTCTATTTAAAATAATCTGTTTAAAATGTTTAAAATGTCCGACATAAGTTTACAGTGTTCTCATTGTACCTATAGGCAAATTGCGTTTTTTTATTACTTTATTGCAAGTTTTAATTTGTTTCGTTATGCGTTTCACCCAAACTTCTTCGTCTTTAGCTGTGAATTTGTTAAAAACTATCTTTCTGACTCTTTTGATGAATAACAATAAATTTTCACATTGTTTAACAATATCCATAATGCTTACCTCTCTCTTTCTTTTGACGCACTAGATGATTTCAAACGCTGGACATAGGCTGGGATTTGGGTCCCACGTCCACCTGACCTCGGCATACTAGGGAGTATTTACCGGAACCAAACTCTGGCACTGCTGAATGGTATACTTCGGTCACCCGTTCTGGTAGAAAAACCACCTCTTCGCCTATGTCGAGTAGAACGGATTGACCGAATTTAGTCTTTACAATTCTTGCCTCTTTGATTGGTTGTGGGATGTTTATCGGCAAGTCTTTCAGTTTTCTCAGAGGTTTTCTCGCTGCAACGATAGACGCTGAGTTAATTTTAGTTAAATCCATCTGAAATAAAAGAATAATATACTAGCAAAGCAGAAAAGTTGCAAAATCAAAAGAGAAACACCGAAAAAATATTTATGACATGAATAAGAGGAAAATGAACAGTAAACAAAAAATAATTGGCAATTATTTATTGCATCTACAGATGCTTGATTTTTATATAGAATACGAAAAACATAAAAGTAAAAAGACAAAATGCTGACGTCTTTTTTTTGTAGACAGTTATTACAACTACAAATGATGAATTTTTATCAAATCTTGGAATGTTATAAACAGCAGAGCAAACAATATCCAACTCAAAAAACATAAAAAGTAAAAAAGACAAAATGCTGTCGTCTTTTTGTAGACAGTTATTGCAACTACAGATGCTAAATTTTTATCTAATCCCGGAATGTTATAAACAGCAGAGCAGACAACATCTAGTTTATTAAAAAAAAATCTTAAAAGATTTGGTATAGAATAATTACGAAGAACACAAAAAAACATAAAAAGGAAAAAACAAAATAGAGCAGACAACATCTAGTTTATTCAAAAGAGAAAAATCTTAAAAAATTTGACATAGAATAATTACGGAAAACACAAAAAAAAGTAAAAAGCAGATCAGACAACATCTAGTTTATTCAAAAAAGAAAAATCTTAAAAGATTTGGCATAGAATAATTACGAAGAACACAAAAAACATAAAAAGTAAAAAAGCAGAACAGACAACATCTAGTTTATTCAAAAAAGAAAAATCTTAAAAGATTTGACATAGAATAATTACGAAAAACACAAAAAAACATAAAAAGTAAAAAGCAGATCAGACAACATCTAGTTTATTCAAAAGAGAAAACTCTTCAAAAATTTGGCATAGAATAATTACGGAAAACACAAAAAGTACAAAGCAGAGCAGACAACATCTAGTTTATTCAAAAAATAAAAATCTTAAAAGATTTGGTATAGAATAATTACGAAGAACACAAAAAACATAAAAAAGTAAAAATGCAGAGCAGACAACATTTAGTTTATTCAAAAAAGAAAAATCTTAAAAGATTTGGCATAGAATAATTACGAAAAACACAAAAAAACATAAAAAGTAAAAAATCAGAGCAGACAACATCTAGTTTATTCAAAAAAGAAGAATCTTAAAAGATTTGGTATAGAATAATTACGAAAAACACAAAAAAACATAAAAAGTACAAAAGACTACTTCAAAATGCTTGCATAAGGTCACAATTATTTAATTTAAAAAATATCTTAAACTTACCTTGTAATCTAGTTACACTAACACAGACACTGTCAGAATAAAATTGATACTGAAGCCTGAAATGATTTCGCCTCAATTTAAAGCTGCTGTTGCGTCGGTTCCCTCCACTTAGATAAGGCGATTGACGTATTTCAGAATGTTTGTGCTTGCAAAATTATGTACGGTTTAATCATTTTGTTGGTTTGGAAAATACCAGCATTCCTCGTGCACATGATAAGAAATGCAGTTCAATAACAAAATGTGGGTATGATAACAAAATTATGGTAAATTAAAATAGTTGAAAAATACCAACATTCCCCGTGCATGCGATAAGAAATGTAAATGCCTGCCGCTATGCGGTATGCTAATTTTCTGTTATCATTTATTTTGCGTCGTTATTTTCATAAATAACTTTGAGATTAAATTCCCAGCCGCTATTTCCTGTGCACGCGGTATGTAAATGATATGTTAACATTTATTTTTCAGCGTTTTTTACTTTAAATATTTCTTAATAATTTGTATAACTTAATTACACATTTTGGGGATATAAATCAAGATGGTTGTCTGCTTTACATGTCTTATTGTTTCCTCTCTGTAACTGTGTGTGCAGAAAATAGCACTCTGGAGTATGCTAGTTCCTTTCTAATGCGTTTCGGATATATAAATACGTCAAGTAATGCTATTTCTAGTGTAGATATGACCTTAGTTGAATTTCAAGAAAGATACAATCTTCCGGGGACCGGAACATTACTTCAAAGCCGGATATTTCTATAACTTTGGTGTCAAATAATCATAATTTTCGAAAAAGTGGTCGCGGAACCTCTAAATGTTCATTTAATTTTGATGGTCCCGGAAAAGTATTGCCCCACGCATACTATCTCAGCGCAAACGGCGAGAGTACCGAAATTCATCTTAATGC